CTACTTGCATTTTTTTACATGCTTTCGAACTGCTAGGTTGGCAGAAGCTGGGATAAGTAACGGGAGCTCACCCTGTTACGCAGCACTAGGGATTCGAACTGCTGAACTGCCGACCTTAGCCACTGAGCCACCTTGACCCTTTCTTAACTTATATCTATCATAATTGTAATATTTATCATTGAGTGAGTTCATTCATAGCCCCTTGAGGTCCACACCTCAAACTATAGATTTTTCTACATATTATTTGTCTGGGTAAGGAATATTCACTGAAGTTGTGACTGAAGTGACTGGCCCAAGGTCACCCAACTGGCTTTGTGCCTAAAGCGAGACTAGAACTCACAGTCTCTCCATTTCTAACCTGATGCCTTAACCGCCACACCAAGCTGTCTTTCTTAACTTACATCTAGCACAATTGCAATCATTATCATCGAGTGGGTTCATCCATAATGCCTTGACGGCCACACCTCAAACAGTACAGGTTTTGTGCCTATTATTTGTCTGGGTTCCTCAATCTCAAATTGACTTGGGGCAAGTATGAGCCAGCAGTGTGCAGCAGCTGCCAAAAAAGCCAACACAGTTCTAGGCTGCATTAAGAGAGGGATAAAATCAAGATCACGTGAAGTGTTAATACCACTTTATAATGCCTTGGTAAGGCCACACTTGGAATACGGCATCCAGTTTTGGTCACCACGATGTAAAAAAAAAGATGTGGAGACTCTAGAAAGAGTGCAGAGAAGGGCAACAAAGATGATTAGGGGACTGGAGGCTAAAACATATGAAGAACAGTTATAGGAACTGGGTATGTCTAGTTTGATGAAAAGGAGGGTAGGGGAGACATGATAGCAGTATTCCAATATCTCAGGGGTTGCCACAAAGAAGAGGGGGTCAACTTATTCTCCAAAGCATCTGAGGGCACGACAAGAAGCAATGGGTGGAATCTAATCAAGGAGAGAAGCAACCTAGAACTAAGGAGAACTTTCCTGACAGTTAGAACAATTAATCAGTGGAACAACTTGCCTCCAGAAGTTGTGAATGCTCCAACACTGGAAGTTTTTAAGAAGATGTTGGATAACCATTTGTCTGAAGTGGTGTAGGGTTTCCTGCCTAAGCAGGGGGTTGAACTAGAAGACCTCCAAGGTCCCTTCCAACTCTGTTATTCTGTTCTGTTCTGTTCTGTTCTGTTCTGTTCTGCTCTGCTCTGCTCTGCTCTGCTCTGCTCTGCTCTACTCTACTCTAAGTAATGTGTCAACCCTGGAGTCATCTTGAAACGTGACATTTTCAGGGTTGCCACAGCGAGGCTGAATAGAGTTGTGGGAAAGGGAGGAGGAGTAGAGATAGCTGGTAGGATATTTAACGGTTACTTGGAACCCTGACATAATGACTTTTGGCTGCCACTCTCCCTTTCCCCTGTTCTGCATGCACTGAAGAGCTTTTTGGAGAAATGGGCTTCCTGGCAGTTCCCCCCAGTAACGATGCCAGCCAACGTTAAAAAAAAAAAAACTGCCGGGAAATTTAAGCACATGTGTTTGCAACCTCCACAAAGGGCTTAAGAATGCAGAGCCAGTCTCTGTATGACGACTTCTAGTGATGTAGAAACTCATCACTTCATCTGATGGCCTGTTCTGCTACTTGTACCTCTTGTTTTCAGTGTTCAACTGAGGTGTGTGGTGTTATTCTATTTTGTTCATCCTCTTAAGGGTTTAGCAAGCTGACACTCTTTGTTAAGGGTGAATATATTCTCATCCCTAAAACTGGCTCTCCACCTACCAAATTATCTGACCGTTTTAGTGGTGTGATATATTGCCTCTTCGTGGTAGAGAAGCACATCCACTCTTGTGTGTGATGTTTAACTCAAGCTTACCTGTTGACCACCACACCTGGTAACTTCTCTAAGGCCTTAGAGAAAGCTGACATTAATTTCCTGGAATGAGTGTTGCCAGCTTATTCTTTTTAAGATGCTCCAATTACTTTATATAGATTTGGTGGGCAAACCCTTGTTGCCAGCCAACATTTGGGGAGAGAATCTTAGGATCGGTGGGAAGGATCATGTCAAATAAATGGGCAGAGATAAATATTTCCCTGTTGAGGGACATGCATATAGTATTTGAAGAGGGTTCATCAAGCGGCTGACACCAAGAGTTTACCCACCAATTCCATACAAAGTAATTAGAGCATCTGAAAAAGAATAAGCTGGCTGTCAACTCTGAAGCTGACCTGGCTGAAGCCATTTCTTCCTGCCTCATTGCTGCCATGAACTTTGAAAGTGGGAAGGGAGGTAGGAAGCAAATAGTCAGGTTACCAGTCAAAACGAAAAAAAAGTTTTCTTATGGGAACCAAGATCATCCCAACAGATGGCAGAGAAGTGACCAAGCAGCCTCTCAGCTACCTTCATTGGACAATGTGATTGGTGACACCTGGGGAGGGAATATTTGCTCTTTTAATTAGGGGAAAAACCGTGGGAACCTTTAGCATTGGTTTTCACTAGCTGTGCCGATATGATGTGTCCAATAAACATGTTCTTTGAGGAATCTACCTGCCTCCGAGTTTTGCTTTTCGTGGATGTGTTACTGTTCTGCCCCAGCTCTGGATTCCCAAGGATTGTGACACACACCAACGGTCCTTATCAAACTTATAATATACCAAGAATAAACAAAGTCTGCCAAAAGTTGGCAACCAGCCCAGAAAACAAGATACGATAAGACACTCACTCTCCAAAATGCTCTGTAATAATTACACGTTGTTTCCAGCAAGAAATTATTAACAGCGTGGAACTTAAATAGGCTAAGGGAGTGGCCAATTATCCTCAAACCTTACTCTTGAGGAGACCTCCTCCTCCTGAGTAGCCACTCCTGGCAGCCCTGCGTGCTCTAGCATTGAGGAGATGCTCCTCCACTTCGCTCTCTCCACTTGAAGGAGCCTCTGGAGGTTCTGAAGGTCCTGGCTGAGTCTCTGCCTCTGGCACCACATCCTCTTCAGCCTCCTCGCTGTCGGACGAGAGCGCTGGCTGCGCAGGCTGCTGGCGCGACCCCACACCAGCCTCCTTGTCGTCGGGATCAGCCACGATCTGCGCAGGCCGCTGGTGGGCCACAACAGTTACTCGGAACCCTGACACTGTCAACATGCATTCCAGGAAATTAATGTCAGCTTTCTGTGAGGCTTAAAGAAGTTACCAGGCGTGGTCAGCAGGTGGGGTTGAGCTCATGCATTGGTTATATTAATTGTCATTGATAGACCTGTGTTTACCATGACTGCTGTTTTATATGCGTTTGTACATGTATGTTTTTCTCTTTTTAAACTTTTAACATGGTTAGCCAACCAGAATTATTAATTGGGAATGTATAGCCATATAAACTGAATGAATGAATCAATGAATAACTCGGTGAATTGAATTGAATACTTTATTTGGGCAAGTCTGATTAGACACACAAGGAATTTTTCTCCAGTACAGAATGAATGAATGAATGAATGAATGAATGAATGAATGAATGAATGAATCAATCAATCAATCAATCAATCAATCAGTCAGTCAGTCAGTCAGTCAGTCAAAAAACCAATATCAGTCAATGTGATTCATTGAACCAGTAGTTCATGAACCGGTAGACTACTGAATCAGTAGTCATGAACCAGTAGTAGAAATCAAGTCAAAGGTACAACTCAGCGAAATCTGGCAGGAAGTATTGCGCTGGCCTTCCTTTCCTAGTCCGAGAGAAATTGTAAAATTTCAGTCTTCTTATCTTGCAAACAAGATGTCCGCGTGAATATCTCAAAGAAGATGTCAGCATGATGAAGTTTACCGCATGCACAAAATCTTAACCCACAGTGTACAATCAGAAACATCCCATTTGTTTTTCATAAGGCCGGGAGCAAATGACTTAGGTGGGTGGATGTTTGGGAATGAGGGTTCCTGTTATTACTCATCTCGTTGTCTACGTTGCTTTGGAGGATCTTGGTGGCAGCCACAGACCAAGTTTGCCTGCTCTGGAGATTGCTTGGACAAAGCACGAGAACAGCTTGTGCGTTGGCAGGGGTTTGGGACCGTGTGTCCTCCGTCACCTCAGTCCTGCCCCTCCTACTGCTGCACATCTGCCGTACATTTCAGTGGTGCTTGCTGGGGGTTTCCAGGCTGTTGTTCTGTTGTTGTGCATGATGTGCCTTTCACGGAAGACATTTCACTACCGCCAGACTTCCACTGGAATGATTGCATGAGGAAATGACGAGGCATGATGATGACTGGAGATGTGGTCGCATAATAAATGGTTAATGATTAATCATCATCATAATTCCTCTTTCTCTTACTCTTTTATTCTTTTTCTTTCTTTCTTTTTTTAAAGTTTAAGTGTTTTGAGTTCCTCCCCACCCTGCCTCCTTGGCATCCCTTGTTTAAAAAGGCAGAACCAATGAATTTGGCAAGTGATGATTTAATATCAACTTCCGTTCTGCAGCTTCGCAATCATGGTATTGTGAGGCTATGTGGTGCCATATATGCTTTGTTAAAAAAAAATATCCACAAAACACATTTGTGTCTCTATTTAGAAATACTGAAGACTCCAAGATTTTGCTTTCGGTGTTTTATTCCCACCACTGATTTTTTTTGTTGTTGTTGGTTTTTTTGGTCCAATAAATTTTGTTAAATTGCTCTTGCTCGATTCCTTTTAAAATTAGCACAGCTTGCCTTTATTTGGTTGATAAAAATGTTCCTTTGTTTACAAAAAAAAGAGAGAGAGAGAGAACGTCTGAATTATCATTTAGCATAAGATCTTTGGTTTCCTTAAACTGGGAGTTCTCAGGCTAGAATTGTGCATATATTCCAGAGTCGCCCTTATCTTAGCAATTTAGATATTCTTGAGTTAATGAGCTCTGCCAACTGAGCCTCCCCTCTACCTTCATTAAAAGGAAAATGCCTCCGTCCCTTTTAACCCTTCTGTAAACATAAACTCAATGGGCAGCAAACCCATTTCCCAGTCAGCAAGCAGTATTGTGAATCTTATCTTCTCTTGCAGAAATCAATTCGTCTTCGTTGCAACCGATGAAATTTCTTGTAACACCTCGGCAGGTAACAATCATTGATACTTCTTGATGCATCCATCTGAGTCTCAATATCCTTTTACACATGCTGTAGTCAGTCACTAGAGGAAAAACCTAGTAAAACCCGCAGAGATAAATCTTTTGGAATAGTTTCATTCGGGTATAACTCCGAGCCTTCAGGCTTTGGGGCTGAAAATACATTAGCGTGTTCTGCTGACGTTGATGTTTTGTTTCGCAATTACATAAGGGAGGAAAGGAGTCATTGATTCTGAAGTTTCATGGAAAAGAAATAATATAATCTAGTCAGCAATGAGGAAGGACAGGGAAGGAAGAGAGACAGGAAATTGGCTGCAAAAGAGTTGATTGTCAAATTAAAAATATACCAGTTATATTGAATGTGATTATATCTCACAAACGAAAGCAAATATACATGTCCCAGGCAGCAGTGGGCTTTATAAATTTTAGCAAGGTGTTCTCTGCCTGGTTGCTGGGTGACCGTGGCCATGGTGGGCATGGCCTAGTCAGCCTCCTGCATCATGGCGGGGGGGGGCGTTTTTGCCCTCCCCGGGCTCTGGAGGCTTTCCTTGAGCCTCTGGGAGGGCGAAAATGGCCTCCCCAGGCTCCGGAAGCCCTCTTGAGGCCCCTCTTCCCAAACTTCCGGTAGGCCCGTTTTTCACCCTCCCCAAGCCTCCGCGCGTACCCTGCACTTACCTGCATCCAAAACGGGCCACGTGGGGATTCCTGGGAGGGGAGGGGCAGGGTGGGTGGGGTGGGGCCAGCCAGGAGTGGGATTTGGGGGTTCTCCGAACTGCACAGAATCTTAGCTAAAGGTTCTCCCGAACCCCTGCGAACCCCCAGAAACCCACCCCTGGTCCCAGGATAATGTTGCAGGATCCAATCTGGGTCAGTCAACAGAACCAAAGGGTTTCATCTTCTGTGTTTTTGGACTCATGCTGCAGCTTATCTTCAGGGAATTCTCTCTAGCTCTCTTAACGTCTCTCTAACAACTTTGCTAGAGAGAAGTTCTCCGAACATGGGCTCCAACATGAGTCCGAAAGCTTGGAAGACAAAACCGCTGGTTCCATTGACCAACCCAGATCGGATTCTTATGTGATTATATATCTCTTAAACGACTCATTGATAGCCCTGAGCAGCTCACACCAAAACACGAATGGCAATTCTGCCATGCAAACCATGTGACACATGTCCTTTGAGCACACTATTGCAATGTCAGTAGAAGCATTTCTAGATTTGTGTCATAATTTCCCAATGCAAATTTGATCATTCTGCAGTCACTGCGATTTGAAGCAGACACATACTTAGAAGGGAGTAGTTATCACTAATAAATACAGCCACTAATGCAAATGCCAGGGTTCCAGCCAATTTTTTTTCTTTTCAAAAATTTATGAAGACTTCCACTCATGCAATTCTGTCAGCCACCATGTTTCTATTAATTTTGTACTGAAAACTGGCCTCTAAGAGTCTTCAAATTCTCTTTCTCTGAAAAAAAAAAACCCCAAACCCCTGTTTCCCATCAACAGGCTGCAGGCTAGTGGAGAGGCCTATAAAAGATATGTATTTACACTCATTCCCTGTCTGCCTTCTGCCTAAATAAGTACAACAATGAATTTCACAAAAATTGCCTTCTTCTTTTTTTTTTTTAAAGTAAAAAGCAATGTCTCATCCATTTCACTGAAGAATAACAGAATAACGGAGTTGGAAGGGACCTTGGAAGTCTTGTAGTCCAACCCCTTGATAGTTCTGGATTAAAGTATAGTGTCAACTTGTAAAGCATTCCAGGCCTGCTCTCGAGTTGCCATAGGCAAGAGGGGGGAGAAACTGATAGAGCAGCTTGGCTGCCATGACCAGAAGCACATTCCACACATACCTTTCTCCAGATTGTATCCCAGGTTACCAGAGCCAGCAGTAGAGGCGTGTTTTCTACAGCCTGTGAAAATGCTCCATTGGAGAATGTGATTTATGACACACCCAGGGAGGAGTGGGGGGGAAACAGGGTCATAGTGGGACCATAAATTACATGGGGCAGAGTTGACTCCACTTGGATAAGTGCCAACATATTGCTCCTAATAAATAACTGGATTTCTTTTGAAACCTAGCTCAAGCTCATTAATTAATTAGGGCATCCGTCGGAACCCTGATACATAGTCCAAAATGCTGTAGAAATTATAAAACATGTAAGCACCAGTTTCCTCAGTATTGATTGGAAAAACCACCACAAATGATGGAGGGCTCCTAAGATGGTTGTGTTCCTGAATGTCCTTTCCACCAGCAGAAACACACAGACTAGGGGGTGGTTACATTTTCCTTACTGAACCTGTACGAAGTATAACAGAACCTCTACATGTATACATTAGAATGGGGATGGGAGACCTTTTGTCTTGCACATGTTTGTTTGTTTGTTTATTTATTTATTTATTTATTTATTTATTTATTTATTTATTTGTTTGTTTGTTTATTTATTTATTTATTTATTTATTTATTTATTTATTTATTTATTTATTTATTTATTTATTTATTTATTTATTTATTTATTTATTTATTTATTTATTTATTTATTTATGGAATTTACATTGCCACCTATTCGCACATGGCGACCCAAGGTGGCTTACAGAATATAAAACCCCACATAAAAACAATAACACTAATAAAAGAAGAGTCATATAATAAATTAATATACTAAAAACATCCCCCACACCCCCACCCTGGCAGCAGCACCTCACACGAGCCATTTAATGGGGTACATCCTACTCTGGGTTCCCCAGGACTGCTGGCAGAACCAGGTTTTCAGTGCCTTCTGGAATAGTGCTAGAGTGAGGGCCATTCTAATCTCTGGGGGAATGATGTTCCAGAGGGAGGGGGCCACCTCGGAGAAGGCCCTTCTTCTGGGTCCCACCAGGTGTATCTCCCTAGGGGATGGGACCCACAGCATTCCCTGCCTCCCCGCTCCGATGGGTTGGGTAGATGTGACTGTCAAGAGACGGTCCCTCAGATAACCTGGTCCCAAGCCATGAATATGACAACAATTTGCACCCAGAAGCAAATTGGCAACCAGTGCAGCTCCCGCAGGAGAGGTAATGCATGTGCACACCAGGGTCTGCACAAAACCATGCGGGCTGCTGCATTTTGCATCAACTGGAGCTTCTGGATGCTCTTCAAGGGCAGCCCCAACGTAGAGCACGTTGCCATAGTCAAGACAGGAAGTGACTAGGGCATGAGTGACTGTGAGTAGGGATTGTTGAGTTCCACCTTTTTTCAGCTTCAACCAGGGTTTGTGGTTGATGAAATCTGCTACCAGTGGATGGGCCCTCTGGTTCAGCATCCTGCAAAAGAAAAGCGAAGACCTTAGAATAAAGTAAACACATGCACATTTTCCCCCATCAATTTCCTCCAGAGGAAACAGTTCAGTCATTGACCTATGCAGGCCATCCAAGCTGTAGAAATTGTAACAATTAAGATGGATAAGGTGATGTTACATGGTTGGAGTTGAGTGGTATGTTATGAACCCTGATGTTCAGATGCAAAAAAAAACAAAAACAAAAACAAAAACCTAAGACTAGGGTAAAAATGGGCTGACTTCTTGGCTAAAATCAAACTTAAGTGAAAAAGTTTAATGTGGCTACTGAAATTTTCCTATCTCTGGCTAAAGCCAGAGAGCTAAAGCAGCAGAATGTATGACTTCCCTGCCTATCAGTGAGAGAGGGTTGGTGTGCTTGACATAACAAAGAAGATTGCAGTGGCAATTCCAAGTTCTAATACCTAGTCCCAAATTAAGATGATATTAAAACAGCAAGAGCAGTCAATCAGTGGAACAGCTTCCTTTCAGAAGTTGTGGGCGCTTCATCATTGGAGGCTTTTAAGAAGAGATTGGAGAAGCACTTGTCTGAAATAGTATAGGGCAGTGATAGCTAACCTTTTTGCCATCACGTGCCAAAAGAAGGGGGAGTGTGGGGGTGTCGCGCATGCGCGTGTGCCCACACACATAATTCTATGCACCCCGCCCCCCCACCCATGTGCGTGTGACCCCCTCCCCTGTACTCCCCCCAGTTTTGGCACACAATGGCACAGTGGGCCTGGTAGGCCCATTTTTCGCCTTCCACATGCTCCCAAGGCTTTCTAGGAGCCCTGGGAGGACGGAAACGGCCTTCCCCACCCCACCCTTAGAGGCCCTCCGGAGGCCAGAAATGGCCCATTTGCCGACTTCCAGTGGGACCAGAAGGCCTGTTTTTCACTCTTCCCAAGCTCCAAAGCCTTTCTAGGAGCCTGGGGAGGGCGAAAACAGCCTTCCCCACTCCCCTGGAGGCCCTCCAGAGCTCAGAAACAGCTTGTTTCCCAACTTATGGTGGGCCCAGAAGGCCCAAAAATCAGCTGACTGGCACGTGTATGCACACCGGAGCTGAGCTCGCGTGCCCACCGTTATGGCTCCATGTGCCACCTGTGGCACGCATGCCATAGGTTTGCCATCATGGGTATAGGGTTTCCTGCTTGAGCAGGGGGTTGAACTAGAACAGGGGTCCCCAATCCTTGGGCCTCAGCCCACTACTGGGTTGCTTTGCTATTTGTAACAAGGCCACGTGAATGGTGGGCCGGCACACATATGTGTGTGCCTGCAGCTCAACCTGCACGAGCGACAGGCTGGTGTGCATGCACATGCATGGACAGCTCAACTTTTGCAAGTTGAACTGTGCCTGCATGCATGAGCGTGCCGGCCTGTCGCTTGCATGGCCTGGTTCCCCTCTCCCCGCCCACCCCAGCCAGGCCACCTAACCGCAAAGATTGGACACCGTTGGACTCGTAGACTTCCAAGGTCCCTTCTCAACTCTGTTATTCTGTTAAGATTGCCACAGCTGGATTTGCCAGCTTTTATTCTTGTCTAGATGAACAGAAGCCAACTTTTTAGGTTAAGGGACAGTATGTTTGGTGTGCCACTCTTCAGTCTATCTGCACTGCCCATGGAGATGTAAGAAGTCAAAAAACTCATACATTAGGTGCAAAAAGAAGGCATAACAA